GTGTTGTTCTGTACCCATTCCATGATTTATATGTTTCTTTAGGATAAGTTTGAGAGATTCATTTCAGTTTCAAGGATCTACCTTATGTCCTTATCTTTTTGCTTTAGTTATGGACGAGTTGACGATAAATATTCAGGATGACGTGCCATGGTGTATGCTTTTTGCAGACGATATTGTGTTAGTGGATGAGACTAGAGAAGGAGTTAATACAAAGTTGGAGATTTGGAGAAAAACTCTTGAATCTAAAGGATTTCGGATAAGCAGAACTAAGACAGAGTACATGGAGTGTAAATTTAGTAACAGTAACAATGAAAGCAGAGGAGAAGTGAAGATTGAGAACCAAGAAAGGAATGGGGTAGGAATCATAATTGCCAAGGGTCTTGTGGAAAGTGTGGTGGCGGTCACTAGGAAAGGAGATAGGATTATGCTAATTAAACTAGTTATTGGAGGGAATATAGTGAATATTATTAGCGCTTACGTCCCTCAAGTAGGGTTAGATGATCAGACTAAGAGGGATTTTTGGGAGCAAATGGCTGAGATCTTACAGGAGATACCTGTAGGAAAGAACCTGGTTATAGGTGGAGATTCTAATGGCCTTGTGGGCATAGATAAAGTAGGTTATGAAAGGGTGCATGGTGGATACGGTTTTGGTGACAGAAATGAGCCTAGAAAGAGAATCTTAGATTTTGCGTTGGCTTCTGACCTGGTGGTGGCCAATACTATGTATAAGAAGAGGGAGGAGCATTTGATAACCTTTAAGAGTGGAGTAGTTAAGAGCCAAATAGATTATTTCTTAGTGAGAAAAGTGGACTGCCTAAAATGCAATGATTGTAAGGTGATTCCTGGTGAGAGTCTGGTCTCTGAACATAGGATTTTGATACTAGATTTATGTTTTAGAGGGCAATACCAAGTTAGGAAGGATGGTGGGCGTCGTAGGACAAGATGGTGGGACTTAAAAGGGGATAAACTAGAAATATTTAAGAATCGAATGGATAAGGAAGGTACTTGGGACTTAGAAGGTGATGGTAACACTATGTGGAATTCGATGGCCAATTGTATGAGGAGAATCTCAAGGGAAGTGCTTGGAGAGTCGAAAGGAACGGGACCCAGCTCTAGGGAAACTTGGTGGTGGAGGGAAGAGGTCCAAGCGGTAGTTAAGGCAAAACAAGAGTGCTTTAAAAAATGGCAGAAGGATAGAACTGAGGAAAACCTTAAGAGCTATAGATTGGTTAATAAGGAGGTCAAGAAAGTAGTGAGAGAGACTAAGTTGAAAGTTTATGATGACCTATACACTAGACTAGATAGTAAGGAGGGAGAGAAGAGGGTATACAAACTTGCTAAGATACGGGAGAGGAAAACAAAAGATTTTAATCAAGTAAAGTGCATCAAGAGTGAGGATTCTAAGGTATTGGTGAAGGATGATGAGATTAAGAAAAGATGGAAGAATTATTTTGAGAAATTGTTAAATGAGGAACATGGAAGTACGACAATAGGGGAAGAAATAATCAGTAATACGATAAACCAAGACTATAGGTTCTATCGCAGGATTAGGAACTTTGAAGTAGAGATTGCACTTAAGAAGATGAAATCAAATAAGGCTTTAGGACCTGATGATATCCCTATTGAAGCTTGGAAGTGTTTGGGTAAAAAGGGAGTTGCTTGGTTGACTATGTTGTTTAGCAAAATTTTGTTGACTAGGAACATGCCAGATGAGTGGAGGAAGAGTATTTTAGTGCCAATCTATAAGGATAAAGGTGATGTTCAGAATTGTAACAACTATAGAGGAATTAAGCTAATGTGTCATATAATGAAAGTGTGGGAGAGGGTGATGGAACGCCGATTGCGAGACATAACAGAGGTGTCAGAGAATCAATTTGGGTTTATGCCTGGTAGGTCAACAATGGAAGCGATCTATCTTTTGAGGAGAGTAATAGAAAAATATAAAGAAAAGAAAAGAGACATTCATATGGTGTTTATCGACCTTGAGAAAGCATATGACAGAGTGCCCCGAAATATAATATGGTGGGCGTTAGAGAATAAAGGGGTGACAAAAGGCTACATTGACGTGATTAGGGACATGTATGAAGGGGTGGTGACCACTATTAAATCGCCAGCTGGAGAAACAAATGAATTTCCTATCACTGTAGGGTTACACCAAGGATCTACCTTAAGTCCTTATCTTTTTACTTTAGTTATGGACGAGTTGACGATAAATATTCAGGATGACGTGCCATGGTGTATGCTTTTTGCAGACGATATTGTGTTAGTGGATGAAACCAGAAAAGGAGTTAACACAAAGTTGGAGATTTAGAGAAAAGCTCTTGAATCTAAAGGATTTCGGATAAGCAGAACTAAGACAGAGCACATGGAGTGTAATTTTAGTAACAGTAACAATGAAAGCAGAGGAGAAGTGAAGATTGAGAACCAAGAACTGTCTAAGAGTGAACATTTTCGTTATTTAGGGTCGATTATCACAACAGCAGGAGAGATTGATGCAGATGTGGCCCATAGGATTAAGGCGGGAAGGTGTAAGTGGAGAAGTGCGTCTGGGGTATTGTGCAATAAACGAATACCCACTAGACTAAAGGTAGTTTTATAGAACGGCTATTAAACCAGCTATGTTGTATGGACGGTGTGTTGGGCAACTAAGAAACAACATGTAGATAAAATGAGTGTGGCTGAGATGAGGATGCTGGGTGGATGTGTGGTAAGACTAGACAGGACAGGATTAGGAATGAGTGTATTCGGGAATGGGTAGGAGTAGCACCGATAGAAGATAAGTTGAGAGAGAATCGTTTGAGATGGTTTGGTCATATTCACGGAGACCAACAGAGGCAGTAGTGAGAAGAATGCGATGCTGTACGGTAGATGGAAGTGTTAGGGGACGGGGTAGGCCTAGATTAACGTTGACTAGCGTTATAAATAGAGATATGAATCTACTTAATTTGACTAATGAAATGGCCTTTGATAGGGCCGCGTGGAGAAGAAGGATTCATGTACCGACCCCATTTGATGGGACTTAAGGCTTGGTTTGGTTTGGTTTTTTCACAACCAAAGTTAAATATAATCTTCAATTTCTTTTTTTTTTTTTTTTTTTTTTTTTTTTAAGATTCACAACCAAAGCTAAATATACATTCAATCTTATTTTATTTAGCTCAACAACAAAATCAAATACACATTAACTAACATTGCCACATTATTCTTGTCAAATTTTATGTATATCTAGAATTTTTAAATTTATTTAGAAAAATTCTATTCCTACAAAAAAATTTCATCTTCTTTTTTAATTTTATGTATCTCCTTCTCCTCTCTATTATTTGATCTTCGACAATCTGAAGGTGAGTTATTACTCTCGTTTTCATCTTCTTCTTCTTTTTTTAAAAATTTTTATTTACATTTATAGAATGAATTTTCTAGTTTCAATATCTCCTACAATTGTTTTATTAGATTTCTCTCTGATTTGATGGTAACCTTAGATTGAATTTCTCAATTTTCATCTTAACAAGCAATCACCTTAATTAAAATTTTGTACATTTTTGTCTTTAATTTCCATGTTTTGGCTATGATTAATTGCGCATTTTTGATCGATAGTTACAATCTTGTCACTGCTAGATTGTCGTCATCGCAAGTCGTCATTGCTGTAGTGAGAAGATGAGAGAGAGTAAGAATTAGAACTATAATTGTCAACAGAGTAGTAAAAACATATGGAGAAATAATTTTTCGATGTACCTAAAAAAAAATATGAAAAAATTAGTGGGTATCCATCCCCGGTTGAGATTTAAAAAACATCACTTACCCTACTCGACGGACAAGAAAAAAGGGGAAACCCAAGTATTTGGGTTGGGTCTCTATGGATACTGTTACAAGGTCAATTTTTGTTTCAAAATTCCAGCCTGTAATGGCACTAAGTTGGACACTTAGTCTCAACCAAGTATGAATACACACACACACAAAGTGCTATAACAAGTAAGAGAATAGGCAACAAGAGATTATAGGAAAACCCCAACCTTTATTAATTGCTCCAACAATACAAATGATGCCTATGGAAACTCTCACCAACACTTAGCTAATTTTCGAGTTCCATGGCTTATGCCTAAATAGGTTTACAATCAGTTACAAGCTTACAACCAGCATTACAAGGAAAGGATGCCAAGTGGCATGGCAGTTGACACCCCCAACTGCCTAGGGACTTAGGATCATTTCTGGGACATAACTGCTAGTAACTGCTGCTAACTCCCTGCCTTGATTCCAGATGTCCAGACTTGCCTTGTCTTTTGCTCAACATGGGTAACTGCTGACAGACAAGCATAACTGCCTTGAACTGCCCATGTTGTTTGCCTTCTCAGTCAGCCACGAATTTGGTTGTCTTGGCCCCCAGACCTAGTTTTGCCTATTGAATGCTTTGAACCCCCAAGTATGCTGCAGCTCACATTCGGGTCATGTTAATGCCTTGCATTTGTGCCACTGCTGCCCATACTTTGGTCAAAGGTCCTGTGCTGCTGTCTCAGCACTTTATCAACGTTTCACCTTGCTGTTTTGGCATGCCACCATTATGCCGTGGTCTTGGTTGGACATTGGTGCAAGGTGCTGCCAATGCCAACCATGCAACCTTCAAGTAGAAGGTGCTAACAGATACCTACATGGAAGGTTATCCATTGTCATCCCTACTCTGTTGACAATTAGAGTTCTAATTCTCACTCTCTTTCATCCTCTCACTACAACAACGGCAATTTGCGATGACGACAATCTAGCGGTGACAAAATTGTGGCTATCGATCAAAAATGTGCAATTAACCATAACAAAAACATGGAAATTGAAGACAAAAATGTACAAAATTTCAATTAAGGTGATCACTAGTTAAGATGAAAATTGAAAATTTCAATCTAAGGTTACCATCAAATCAGAAAGAAATTCAATAAAACAATTGCAAGAGATATTGAAATAAGAAAATTCATTCTATAAATGCAAATAAAAAAAATTCTAAAAAAAGAAGAAGAAGAAGAAGAAGAAGATGGAAATGAGAGCAATAACTCACCTTCAGATTATCGAAGATCAATTAATAGAGAGGAGAAGGAGATACATAAAATTAAAAAAAATAAATAAAAAAAGAAGATGGAATTTTTTTTGTTGGAATAGAATTTTTCTAAATAAATTTAAAAAATTCAAGATATACATAAAATTTGACAAGAATAATGTGATAATGTTAATTAATGTGTATTTGATTTTGTTGTTGAGCCAAATAAAATAAAATAAGATTGAATGTATATTTAGCTTTGGTTGTGAATTTTAAAAAAAATAAAAAATAAAAAAATATTGAATTTATATTTAGCTTTGGTTAAGATTGAATTTTTCGAAATAAATTTTAAAAATTCTAAATATATACAAAATTTGACAAGAATAATGTGACAATGTTAATTAATGTGTATTTGATTTTGTTGTTGAGCCAAATAAAATAAAATAAGATTGAATGTATTTGATTGTGAATCCTAAAAAAAATAAAAAAAATAGTTGTGAACCTTAAAAAAAAAATAAAAACAAAAAATAAAAAGAGATTGAATGTATATTTAGCTTTGATTGTGAATCTTACCCAAAAAAAAAAAAAATTGTGAATCTTAAAAAAAAAGAAAAAAAGGTCAAGTTGGGTTGGAGAATATCCAAACCCATTAGGAAATGGGGAGGGTAGTACCCATGGGGAATGGGGATGGAGAATTAATATCCACCCCATTAACCCCCATTGCCATCCCTATTAGGGTTCCTCAAAAACACTCCATGGCACAATTGGCAATATAATTAAATGCAATCAAACTATATTGTCAAATTTCAAACAAATTGAAATCACATATATATTATACCTTGATTTGAAATGCCCGTTAAACTATCTCAGTTTAGCAAAGATGTCATTTTGGTAATTGTATATTCATTAAAGACTTGTTATTCCCTAAGGATGTATTGTTCGTCAAGGGAATGAATCCTTCATCCAATTCCTTTGAAAAGGGGTTTTCCCTTGGATGCTCAAACTTAATGTGGCATGACAATCGTCTACATGCTGTGTTTCTTTGTGACACATTTACCCTGGAATAGTGCTTCTTTTTGTGGCATCTGTCTAAAATGATCATCAAACTAATAAAATATCTTGACACACACTAGATAAAACCAAAGCATCAAGAAAAAGAGAGATTGTAAAATGATGGCCCTTGACATAGCGGAATGGCGAAAAAAGAATCACATAGCCAACCACACCTGATTGGAACATAAGGCTTAGTTTGGTTTGGTTTGGTTTATTGTAAAATGATCGGAAACTAACATACATGCTACAAGTACACAAGTCCATTCTGATTGGCTGTCAGATTTTGATTTCTTACATAACACATTGTCACCAAAAGAAAGAAGAGAACAAGTTTGATTAAGTACCAAGAGAGGTGCCAACTAGGATTGCTGTGGGTGTGGCAAGGCCCAGTGCGCAAGGGCAGGATACTACCTGGAAGAGAAACCAATTTTACAAAGTCAAACTTACATATATATATATAAGACCACTCTCTAATTTTCTTAGGGAGTCTAAAAATTCCTGCAGAAACAATCACCCACAAGAAGGTTGGCTCTATATGTAAAGTAGCAAAATTATTGAAGAATGAATTAACAAATCATTGATTTATAGCATCATTTTTAGATATTACAAGGCATATTCCTCCAAACTGAAGGCTATTTCCCTATCCATTGATTGTATTATCAGTATATGGATTGCTAGTTCAGTATGACTCACCAAGACATCCACAGAAAGCTTCAAACTTAGGAGCAAAGGACTTCCATCAGGTCCAGCAATATCATTAAGCAATACATCTGGAAAGATGTTCGTCCCGACATAGTACCTTTAGCAATAATTGGCAGTAAGTAACAAGCAGAAAGCAGTTACAAGAATATTGATTGCACAAATAAAATCATCTAAAAAGCTCTATTCAATCCCGTTTGTCCAGATCATGCGATTAGGGTTCGCTTGATCCTCGGGTTTATGCTCCTGGGGTGGACCCAAAGAACCCTGACTACAACACGTTTCTTGGTTGTTAAAAAAAACAAAAACTCTATTCAATGGTATATTTTATTATTTTTTCTTTTGAGATTGGTGTATATCACTGTTATTATTCATGGGAGAGACTAACTGAAGACCAAGACCTGAAGCCAAACATTAAAAATAAATAAATAAAATAAAAAAAATCAGCTTTTTTTTGGCTTCAAGTCGAGGAGATCAACCATGGAAGGTAGTTTCTTACTTAAAGACTATTAAGAGGTTCTTAAGAAGGGTCTCTGTATTGTACTATCAGGATATGATAGGCATCCCACAGAAGGTGTGGAGGAATTTATGTAAAAGATATGGGGCATAGGAAAGATGACTTCATATGGTATAAGATCGGTGCAGTGAATTCAGACTAAATAATGAAAACAGTTACGAGGACAGATGTGGAATTTTTACAGACTGGTTTCATTGAGATTGGCACTTAGCCCCTAATTTTTTGTTCTAGTTAAAAACAAATTAAATAGTCATATTCAAGGATGGGTGGTATTACACTTACCAATATATATATGGTCATTAAGACTATGGGATAAACATCAAATTAGAATGATGGGCATGAGTTAGTAAAATCAAAATACTCCAAGAAAACAGAAAAGACACTGAGCAAGAAGTCAGGAGTGGGACTTAATGATGGTCAAACTGACCACAGTCAATATATCATCCATAAGTGGTGAGATTGATGAGGACGTGCACATGGATCAAAGCCAGACAAGTTGAAGCCGGCTCGATGATGCTTCACAACAGAACACGCTCAAAACTTGGCAAAGCCTAAAACCAAAATAAAATTACACTCTTTGGAACGAAATTGCCCACACAAAACAACCAAGGGATAACTAGACATTATGCCCACAAAATAACCAATATGGTCTCGTATTCCTCTATCTGATAAGCATCTATGTTTAAAGCATCATCTCCATCTATTTCCTAATAATTTTCTGAGGTTTGGCTTTCCATCTTCCTTTTAGAACAATTCTACTTAATGGCCTCACCACATGAAAAACAAGAAGACAAGCAAATGCATACCAAAAGGCAAATGTCACAGCTGATAAAGTCATCACACTGTAAACAAACGGCCCAGCTATTGCATCTGCAAGCCTTTGTATAGGTGCTTCATGGCCTTGAGCATCCTCGACCTGAAATGACAATATAAAGGTTTCATAGAAAGTATAAGATTTTCACACCAAACAAGCCTTCCAAGGCTAGGCATAAGTCAAAAAATATTACAAATTCCTAGCATTCCAATTGCATCATATATCCAACGCAAGTAGCTTTTCAGAAAGCTAAGGACATTTGAATGTAATTGTTAGAATATGGAATATGAAATAGGTGTCTGTGTAATTTTCTATGTTAAGTAAGAGCAGTATGGTCATATCGTATCTTGTATCTCACATATATATTTGTTGATGGTTTAGGTTTAGATTGTAAGCCTAAAACGTATACCATTCACAACACTAAAAGTTCAATCCAATGAAGTGCTTCATCCCCTTGGGACCAACCTTGGGGCTTGTGCCTGATAATTACTTGGTGTGTGTGTGTAGGGTTGTAAACGAGCCAAGCCGAGTTTTCGTATGTTTGGGCTTGTTTATTAAGATTTTCACGAGTTTGAGTTCGAGCTCGAGCTCAATGAAAATTTGAAGAACCTAGCTCGAGTCAAGTTGGCTTAGGCTTGACTTGAGCTCGAGCCTGTTCACAAGCCTTAACGAGCCAAAGAAATTATAAATTCATACTTGCGTATGACACTAGAGTTACAATTGAAATTTTTATACAAACATAATAAAAGAAAAGTCAATATCTTACCAAAATAATAATATTTACCATCAATATTATATAAATGTATTATCTATAGTTAGTTATTATTTACGTATAAATAAATTTAGCTATTATTTACATTATTTAAATATATAAATAACATATTTATCTTACTTTTTATACATATTTTTATATTATTTAATATATATAATAATATATTTATTCTATTATTTAAATAAATATTAAACGCACCGCTAATGAGAGGAGCTTTAATATGTTTGAGCTTGTTTATTAAGATTTTAACAAGCTCGAACGCAATAAAAATTTAACCAACCGAGTTCGAATGAGCCCTTACTGAACCGAACTTGAGCTTGTTCACGAACGACCCTGTTTATTTGCAACCCTATGTGCGTGGGATGGGGGGTTGCGTCAGCATTAGGGCTGCAAATGAATCGAGCCGAGCTTTGTTGAGCTCGAGCTCGGCTCGTTTACTTATTGAGCTCGTTATTGAGCTCAAGCTTGGCTCGATAAGGAATTAGGCTCGAGCTCGGCTCGACTTGTTAATATTTTTTTTAATATTATTTATATTATTTAAATTAAAAATATTATTTAATATATAAATACTATTATTTATATATTATTTAATATATAAATAATATATTTATTATATAATCTAAATAAAGATAAACGAGCCGAGCTTATGCGAGCTCGAACTCGGCTCATTTACTAAACGAACCGCGCCGAGCCGAGCTTGTTCATAAACAACTCGGTTCATTTGTAACCCTAATCAACATGTACGCAGGGGAATCGTCGGGGAAAAGCCTTAGATTCCCTCGTTAACGAAAGAAAATATATATATATATATATATCAGAAGTTCAATCAAAATTATATTTTATGCCACAAGTGTTGGGAGGCAGCATATCCAAGAGAATCTGATACCCTTACTCTTATTACCTAAATCTGTCAATTCACAGTATAATAGAGTCCATCATAAAAAAATGGTTACTGACCAGGCGAACAATCTTGGCAATTGTTGAGTTAGATCCAGTGGAAGAGGCTTCAATCCTCAAAGGACCATCCTGAAAGGAAAGAAAAAAATCATGCTTTCTTGTTTCAGATATTACTGCACTGGAAAGCAAACACAAAAAGAAAAATGTACATTCATTTCAATTTCACAAATATTCATTTGGGTTTATGTCAGTGTCTGTTTTTGATTTGGCTTCACTGCCCAGGAAGGGAACGAATTAATAATTTAGTTCTAGCCTACATTTGTGTCTTGGGTTGTTCTGGAAATTGGCTATTTTAGTTGGATTTTTGGCTTTCATGAAAAGATGTGCAGAAAATTAGAGAGAATAGTTTTTGACTTTTTGGCTATTTTAATGGGTTCCCAAAACAAGCTTTAGTCTCCTTTGAAATTTGTGGAGAGTTAGAAATGACATGAATTGAAGAGGAAATGAAGGGAAACAAATTGAGGTGATTTGGCTATGTCAATGTAGACCAACTAATGTGCTGATGAGAAGGAGGGATATGGTCCAGGTCGAAAGAGCCAAAAGAATGGGAGGAAGGAAAAGAAAGACATAGGTAGAGGTCATAAAAGAGGAAATAATTTATTTGGACTTAATTTACTTATGACATTGATTTGAGGTAAACAGACACAATTTTGATGATGTAGTTCATGTTGGGGGGAGGAGAGCAAGCCACCTAAATAAAACACAGAAAATGACATTTTTGAAAGGAGGATGTGGAATGGTGATATGGCTACATATTCCGCATTTCAATAAAAATTTAGTATAGTTGAATTCAGACGAATCAGTGGAGTAACTGAGAAAATGTTGTCTAAATTGGTCTGCCCATAAACTGTAGACCAAAAAACACAGTGGTAGAGGAGCAATTTAATTCAAGAAAGGCGGCACGAGAGTACAAGAGAAAAAAGGTCAGAAAAGACAAGAGTTGAGACCATGAGAAAGGCCATGATTGCCTAGGACTTCACCAAGATTGTGCCTTCATATAGAAGTACTTAGAGAAGATTGATCCATGTAGTTGACCCTTTAGTAATAAGGATTATGCTTGTTGAGTTGACTTGTGCATTTCAATCCGAAAGTGTTGCTTATTTCAGTTGCACAAAGAAGAATGTGCAACCATTTTACTGAGAGTTCAAAATTTAATTACACTTGCACATCATCTTCTCAATCGCTATAAAGAACTAAAAGCATAGTTCCATTCCACAAACAAAAATGCTGATCTAACCCTTGACATTAGCAACATAGAGCAACTCATAAATTATTATCCGACCTAAATGACAAATATCCAATTATTATATCTTTGATATCATACCCAGTTTACTGTTCCAGCAGAGACTGTAAGGCCTTTTTCCTTAAATACAGGAAGCGATTCTCCGCTGAGCATGGACTCATCCACAACACTTTGTCCTGCAAGAACTATCCCCTGTGTACGCAGCTTGTAAATACAAATTAATATGGAATCCCCCATATTCACATATATAAACAGGGAACCACTGAAATTTACGTAAAAACAAGAAGATATGACCTTAAAATTTTAAGATTTATCCATTTTGTAGAGTAAAAATGCATATTTTGTGCTTTAAGAGGTAATTAATCACGACGACCTAAATAACAGCCATGATTAGTTAAACTTCTGCTCCGCTGAGCATTTTTTTGAATTGCAAACAAAGATGTTCTGATTCATCCAAATTAGAGGATAAAGGTGAAAACAATTACAATTACACCAAAAACAAAATATCATGCCAATGTTGCAACAAGCACAGCAACTTCCTACGTTTACCAATTATCAGTTTCTCAATCAAATGACTACTTAAAATATATGTAAATCTGCAGAAAATTTACTTAATGCTTGAATTATTTTTTCCCATATGTCAGTATGTTTACTGTGATTGCACACACCAGATATGGCTAAACAGACTTCGTGTAGCATGAAAGGTGATTTACATTTTGAATTGGTGATAAAAAAGATGAAAAAAAAAAATCTACGGGTGCAAGTACTATAAATTGCCAGACTGGTTTTCTCATCATGACTGATTTCAAACATGGGGAAGTTCAAACAAAGAATTGAATTTGCTTACATCAACAGGTATGGTTTCTCCGGGCAAAACCAACACTGAATCGCCAATTCGAATATCGTCAATTGGGACTTCAACGCAAATTGCATCAGAGCAAAGTACACTACCAGGAGATGAGTTACTTTCTGATGGGGTTATCACAAGTCGTGACTGAGTGGACATCAGTGACTGCAGAAACACCCAGGGGTAGTTTGTCAGGGGGGGGAAAAATTAGCTACCTAAATATTCAAATAAAGGAACATAAAATCCATTTTATGCCATGCACATTAATTAGCATGCCTAACTTTTTTTTGAAAAGAAGTAAGTCGTGTATATTCTGATTAAATAGTGTAGTCATCAAACAAGTGAAAGATCTTAATACAATTAAAGCAGACCACAGTTATATTTTACAAAAGGATTACTGATTCACCAATGGTTCCTAGCATGTTAATCAAAATGATCGAGTATTACACTGCCCTCACATTGGCTGCAGCAATGAGGCATGAGTCAATTTGGAAATTGAACCATACGCATATGACATCTACTTGAATGTTTATCTGTTAAATAATGTCATTATAAAAGTTGCTAGAATTCAGCTAATGCCAGCACTACATCTCACCAGAAGCCGAAAGGTTATAAGTTAGAGACAAAAGCTACCGAGAGACAAGAGAGAAGTAAGAGAACAAGACAGTCCAGCAAGAGCAGGCTTTTGAGATTTCCGTGCTAAATTTGAACAAAGATGGCTTGGAAACAAGATAATTCTACAAATTAAGCAAATAACAGGTATTATTTCTTTGAGCAATTACAGCTACATTTTTCAAAATGAGTGCCTGGTTGGAAGCATTGACCAGGTCATGAGTGGTCAATCAATTTTCTCAAGTTATATCTTTATGTGTGGTGGTGTGTTTCAGAAGTAACTTCGAAGAACCTTTTTTTTCCCGCAATCTATACAATGTCAAGTATAAGTAAATTAAACTGTATGCTATGTATCGCAAATGTCATTGGTAAGACAGCATGGACCTTATTCAGAAGAAGACAATAATAAAAACAAGGCCAAGCTAAAACTTTCATTTCACAGTGAAGGGCACAAATAACTATCAATCATATGAGTCACATTGTGACTTACTAAGAGTTCATTCATATCACTGGATGCCTTAATCCTGGCTTTTTCTTCCAAAGAACGTCCAAGAAGCACGAAACCAAGAAGCATTACCTGCATACTAAAAAAGGGTAACCATGCATGAGCAAATTTATTATCAGCCAAAATATTCAATTATATTTAAATAAGATCATCATCATGACAATATAGGTAAATTTTAGACATGCTTAAAAAATAAAACAGTAAAAAGCAAATTTTAAAAACAATAATCAACAAAACAAGAAGAACAACAAAACTATTGAATATCCATCCAACACATGTTGTCCTATTGTTTCACAAGCAACAATGCGGCAAGTCACTAACAAACTATTGCACTTACAAGAAGTAACATGGTTTAAACTGAATGCTCAAAAAGGAGGAGGCCAAAAGGACTAGAACTGTAAATTCCAAGGGCCTGAATAATTTGGGTTCAGCCCTACTGTGTTTCAGTGTCGCATATATTCAACAAGAGAAAACATAGTTAGAAGGGAGAGAACACCTAAAATAACAAGTATGAAATACTGATCCCTTGAGTTTTGCTGCTTGACGCTTGTATAGTCAATCCAATAGGCATGAATTTCCATTAACCACAACATTTTTTGAAATAAAATGCCAATCACGTCAAAGACAATAATTATGTCAACTAGTAAAACTGAAGTAAAAATAAAGGCTCTGTTTGGTTTAGGGCTGGAATCATGATTCCAGCCCGGTGTTTGGATACGGTTTTTAAAAATTGATTCTAATCCTTCATTTGAAAACTTGTTTGGACATTTGAAAACATGTTTGGTAACCAGAGAGTTTTTGAATTTTTGGGTCTACCCGGACGTCCGGCCGATTGACCAGAGCAGTGTTTTTTTTTTTTTTTGGCAATTGCCACCTATTCAATTCAAAAAAAAAATTTATATTTGTTTTTGATATTTTTTAAATATAGAAATTATTTTTTTTAGACCAAAATCTTAGATTATTACAATCAAAATTAATTTTAAAGCACTAACTAAATATTTTTTTAAACAAAAAATAATATATATTTTTTAATATTTTAAATAAAAAATATATTTTCAGAATTTTTTGAAATTTTTAAATAGAAAATTTATTTTTTTCAGTAATTATTTTTTTGAATTGAATTTTAAAAAGAGTTTGGTTATGAGTTTCGAATAGAATTTTCAATAAAGTTTTGAGTTGTGTGTTTGGTTATGAGTTATAAGTTTTTAAATTAAGTTTTGAAAACTATTTTCAAAACTCATAACCAAACAACTTTTTTTATTTCAAAACTCATTTCAAAAATTCAAAACTCAATTCAAAATTCAATTCAAAACTCATAACCAAACAAATTTTCTCTTTTCAAATCATAATTTCAAAACTCACAAAATCAAAAGACAACTCCACACTCAAATCATAATTTTAAAACTAAACCAAACCAAACGCTACAAAAATGAATAAATTACCTAAAATTCTCTATTGTGGGGGAGGGGGTGATTAAAACAAAATTGTAAACATGATGCTTATCCATGTAACAACCTAGGTCCCTTCTTATTGGAAGTCTTAGATGAATGCACTATATCCCTACCCAGATAACAGGGAGTGAAAAAATATATTCAACTTCTTTCACACATTTGAAGAAACATCAATTTCAGCTCTTCTAAATGCTAATTCCATGTTTACATCCATCAGCCAAGAAAGAAAAAGAAAAAAAAAACACATCTTATCCTAAAAAAAAAAAAAAAAAGAAACACACTAAACAAACATGTCATTCTTTTGTCCTTCAATCATATCCATATAAAATTAAAATTAAAAAAAAAATAATAATAATAAAAAATAAAAAAAATCTAACAGATTAATTTAACTAGTAATAAGAACATTTTTCTTTAACTATAATAAGTAATTGGTCCGCATTACTACTTCACTCATACTTTTTCAAGTTTGCTTGAAAATGAATGATATTTGGTAATAATAACTAAAGAAAATATTTTCCCTTCTATTTAAAATCATTCACATACTTGTGTATTCATGCTTATTGACACAACAAAAGATTAATGAACCATAAGGGATATGTTATTAAAATCGGTGGTACTACATGCACTAATTAATGTACACACTAGTGTACCAACTAGTGTTATGCCATTATTACTGACCCCACCTATTATACAAATTACAAATATCCAAAACCTCTAAAATTATGCCACATCATCTGTTAGTGTACTAGTTAGTATATTAATTGGTACGTATGGCATTATTCTATTAAAATTGCTGAAGGTTTACCAAGTTTAAACTCAGGTACAAGGAAAGGCAAGTCATATGAAAAGGTGAATAGGAAAAAATGTACTAAAATAAAAAATATAAAAAAATAGGATTTAGCTGCCTGAGGAAACTGCCAAGCTTTTCATATTATGTAGGATACCAGGACTTCGATAGACTGGCAGTTTTTTTCAATAAGTAATACAATTTTTTCGGGTACCATTGAAATAATTTAAAATTTAGATACAGCTGTAGAAGCTTTATCTAGAAATACTCCAAATAGGAAGAGTAAAATAAATCACCGGCTCATCGAAGAAGGATGCATCCCAATCAAGCTCAGGGTTAAGAAGTGAGACCTTCAAGAAAGAAAGAGCTTGTGAATAAAGTAAACTAAAAAGAAGCACAAAAAAAAAAAAAAAAAAAAAAAAAAAAAAATGAAACCATCATGGGCATGACAAAACCTCGATCTCAGCATATAGAAAAAGTCTCACCACGCTTATGATAAACGCAGCGATTGATCCAAATCCCACAAGAGAATTCATATTTGGTGAACTCCTAATGAATGCCCTTAGACCATCAAAAAGCAAGTCTGTAACACATTATAATTTTTGGATCAATCAGCTCACTGAATTGAACTTAAGGATTCACGTATTATAATTGTTGTCGGGTTATGTACCTTACATTATACATAGTAAGACTGCACACAATGTAATATGTGGTTTTTGAAAAACTAACAATGTGATGGAACAAAAATAACTCTTACGACAGAAACAATCTCAATGATAGAAATGATTTTACATGCATGAATCACTACTTATTGGTCCCTTCCACACTAGATATTGGCCTAGCCTAGCCTATCTGATGGTTAGACCTAGTCTGGCTGCATTAATGAGACACGAGCTAGTGTGATTCTAGGCAATGCTTCAGCTACTCCACGCTATTAGATCAAACAACGAGAATTGGGTCGACCTTATTTTTGCAATTGCTGACTAGTATATGAACTACTATTTATTGGATTTAAAATCCCATGCAAAAACTTGCTTCGGTCAATTCAACCAATGGAGCTAACGGAAACTAATAAAAAATCCTAAACTCTAACATTGAAAATTTTCAAAAAAATAAGAAAACAGAATATAATATATGCAACAGGGTCAAAAGGCATTCTCATTTTGTCTTTCATTTTGCTGAACTCATAGGCAGCTTAACCTTTAGGCCACTTGGCCTATTGTATAAGGCCTACCAAATAATTTCAAAAAACTTTCTGATTCCCAAAAGACCCAATCGTCTAAAGGCTTAGTAAGATAACCTCATTTTGACGTTTGGCCTTTATGCCTAAAATGTTCTTGGGCTGCTACTGGCTGAGAACTGGTACATGGTTACACATTCTAGAAGCTAGTTGTAATCAGTCTAGTAATGCTAAAGTTAACAATATAAAACTTAAAACAAAACAACTTTGAAAAAAATATGCAGAACACGGGTACTAACACAAAACTTAAAAGATCAAAAGTGAAGCAAAATTAAAAATACTCACTCATAAAGTTTACAGAAGAGAAGACAAAACTAATAAACCAACAAAATTACAAGATTGCCAAGTCCAACTGACCTCGTCCTGGTCCCAGTAAAGCCCCCAAAGCCAAACCACCTTTCACATACGAATTATGAAGTAGCTCCCAAAATGATCCTAGGCCAGTATAAACAAAATCCAAATCATATTACGGCATTTTTGAAGTAATTAGGATTGCACTGATTCACTTGACATTTGAAAGTATTTTTTCTCGCTCCTTTAAAGCAAAATTTGAATTAATATTTGGTAAGAAAAACACTTCCAGAAGGCGATAAAACAATGCCAAAATTTTATACAAACAATAACAATAACAATAGCTATACAATTTTGTATATTGTTAGATAATGTCTCAATGGGACCACATAATTAAATGTGGTGTTATCATTTATAAGAAGCCTACAATTTAAGTGATTCAATTTAGTTAATAGGCTTAAGGGTATATGTGTTATGGACCTAATGTGTAGATACTAGTTGTATAATTTCTATTTCTATGAGGGGCAGAAATAGAAATTAAAACATATTGATTAAAGTTGGTTTTCATTTATGAAACTAATAATGGTTAATTTATTGGTTTTTATTACCTTTCAGTTATGAAACTAATAATGGTTAATTTATTGGTTTTTATTACCTTTCAGTTATGAAACTAATAATGGTTAATTTATTGGTTTTTATTACCTTTCAGTTATGAAACTAATAATGGTTAATTTATTGGTTTTTATTACCTTTCAGTTATGAAACCAATAATGGTTAATTTATTGGTTTTCATTACCTTTCAGTTATGAAAACCAATTACAACCTTTAAAAGGTTATGGTCCCTATTCCTTCCCAAGGGTGAAAAAAAACAAGAATACTGTTTTGTTTTCTAAATCCTCTCAAGGAAAAACATAAGGCACATAAGGGAAAGGATTAGAAGGCTCTAACAAAGTCAATATTAAGGTTTTATTGACAATCAGACGCTTCCGTTTAACCGTTCATCAATGGATTCAGGTATGTCATTTTGTCTTGATCACTTGATAATACACATGGTAAATGATCCAAAGTGTAAGGTTTATGTTCTGAAATTTTATGTTAACAAGTGGTATCAGAGCCAACATATCATGTGTCTTATCAGAATTGATATGCTTTATTCATTCTATTTAGTTTCCTGGAATCAGATTCTGAATTCTCTTATGGATGTAAATTCTGTTTTTTCCTGTTTTGTTCTGTGAAAATGGCAATCTATTTTCTGGCATTGTAAAATGATTCGGTGGATTCAGTTTTTTTTTTGGACCCGTCAATTCTATTTATATATGTATATATATAATTGGAATGGTTAATTTATTGGTTTTTATTACCTTTCAGTTATGAAACTAATAATGGTTAATTTATTGGTTTTTATTACCTTTCAGTTATGAAACTAATAATGGTTAATTTATTGGTTTTTATTACCTTTCAGTTATGAAACTAATAATGGTTAATTTATTGGTTTTTATTACCTTTCAGTTATGAAACTAATAATGGTTAATTTATTGGTTTTTATTACCTTTCAGTTATGAAACTAATAATGGTTAATTTATTGGTTTTTATTACCTTTCAGTTATGAAACTAATAATGGTTAATTTATTGGTTTTTATTACCTTTCAGTTATGAAACTAATAATGGTTAATTTATTGGTTTTTATTACCTTTCAGTTATGAAACTAATAATGGTTAATTTATTGGTTTTTATTACCTTTCAGTTATGAAACTAATAATGGTTAATTTATTGGTTTTTATTACCTTTCAGTTATGAAACTAATAATGGTTAATTTATTGGTTTTTATTACCTTTCAGTTATGAAACTAATAATGGTTAATTTATTGGTTTTTATTACCTTTCAGTTATGAAACTAATAATGGTTAATTTATTGGTTTTTATTACCTTTCAGTTATGAAACTAATAATGGTTAATTTATTGGTTTTTATTACCTTTCAGTTATGAAACTAATAATGGTTAATTTATTGGTTTTTATTACCTTTCAGTTATGAAACTAATAATGGTTAATTTATTGGTTTTTATTACCTTTCAGTTATGAAACTAATAATGGTTAATTTATTGGTTTTTATTACCTTTCAGTTATGAAACTAATAATGGTTAATTTATTGGTTTTTATTACCTTTCAGTTATGAAACTAATAATGGTTAATTTATTGGTTTTTATTACCTTTCAGTTATGAAACTAATAATGGTTAATTTATTGGTTTTTATTACCTTTCAGTTATGAAACTAATAATGGTTAATTTATTGGTTTTTATTACCTTTCAGTTATGAAACTAATAATGGTTAATTTATTGGTTTTTATTACCTTTCAGTTATGAAACTAATAATGGTTAATTTATTGGTTTTTATTACCTTTCAGTTATGAAACTAATAATGGTTAATTTATTGGTTTTTATTACCTTTCAGTTATGAAACTAATAATGGTTAATTTATTGGTTTTTATTACCTTTCAGTTATGAAACTAATAATGGTTAATTTATTGGTTTTTATTACCTTTCAGTTATGAAACTAATAATGGTTAATTTATTGGTTTTTATTACCTTTCAGTTATGAAACTAATAATGGTTAATTTATTGGTTTTTATTACCTTTCAGTTATGAAACTAATAATGGTTAATTTATTGGTTTTTATTACCTTTCAGTTATGAAACTAATAATGGTTAATTTATTGGTTTTTATTACCTTTCAGTTATGAAACTAATAATGGTTAATTTATTGGTTTTTATTACCTTTCAGTTATGAAACTAATAATGGTTAATTTATTGGTTTTTATTACCTTTCAGTTATGAAACTAATAATGGTTAATTTATTGGTTTTTATTACCTTTCAGTTATGAAACTAATAATGGTTAATTTATTGGTTTTTATTACCTTTCAGTTATGAAACTAATAATGGTTAATTTATTGGTTTTTATTACCTTTCAGTTATGAAACTAATAATGGTTAATTTATTGGTTTTTATTACCTTTCAGTTATGAAACTAATAATGGTTAATTTATTGGTTTTTATTACCTTTCAGTTATGAAACTAATAATGGTTAATTTATTGGTTTTTATTACCTTTCAGTTATGAAACTAATAATGGTTAATTTATTGGTTTTTATTACCTTTCAGTTATGAAACTAATAATGGTTAATTTATTGGTTTTTATTACCTTTCAGTTATGAAACTAATAATGGTTAATTTATTGGTTTTTATTACCTTTCAGTTATGAAACTAATAATGGTTAATTTATTGGTTTTTATTACCTTTCAGTTATGAAACTAATAATGGTTAATTTATTGGTTTTTATTACCTTTCAGTTATGAAACTAATAATGGTTAATTTATTGGTTTTTATTACCTTTCAGTTATGAAACTAATAATGGTTAATTTATTGGTTTTTATTACCTTTCAGTTATGAAACTAATAATGGTTAATTTATTGGTTTTTATTACCTTTCAGTTATGAAACTAATAATGGTTAATTTATTGGTTTTTATTACCTTTCAGTTATGAAACTAATAATGGTTAATTTATTGGTTTTTATTACCTTTCAGTTATGAAACTAATAATGGTTAATTTATTGGTTTTTATTACCTTTCAGTTATGAAACTAATAATGGTTAATTTATTGGTTTTTATTACCTTTCAGTTATGAAACTAATAATGGTTAATTTATTGGTTTTTATTACCTTTCAGTTATGAAACTAATAATGGTTAATTTATTGGTTTTTATTACCTTTCAGTTATGAAACTAATAATGGTTAATTTATTGGTTTTTATTACCTTTCAGTTATGAAACTAATAATGGTTAATTTATTGGTTTTTATTACCTTTCAGTTATGAAACTAATAATGGTTAATTTATTGGTTTTTATTACCTTTCAGTTATGAAACTAATAATGGTTAATTTATTGGTTTTTATTACCTTTCAGTTATGAAACTAATAATGGTTAATTTATTGGTTTTTATTACCTTTCAGTTATGAAACTAATAATGGTTAATTTATTGGTTTTTATTACCTTTCAGTTATGAAACTAATAATGGTTAATTTATTGGTTTTTATTACCTTTCAGTTATGAAACTAATAATGGTTAATTTATTGGTTTTTATTACCTTTCAGTTATGAAACTAATAATGGTTAATTTATTGGTTTTTATTACCTTTCAGTTATGAAACTAATAATGGTTAATTTATTGGTTTTTATTACCTTTCAGTTATGAAACTAATAATGGTTAATTTATTGGTTTTTATTACCTTTCAGTTATGAAACTAATAATGGTTAATTTATTGGTTTTTATTACCTTTCAGTTATGAAACTAATAATGGTTAATTTATTGGTTTTTATTACCTTTCAGTTATGAAACTAATAATGGTTAATTTATTGGTTTTTATTACCTTTCAGTTATGAAACTAATAATGGTTAATTTATTGGTTTTTATTACCTTTCAGTTATGAAACTAATAATGGTTAATTTATTGGTTTTTATTACCTTTCAGTTATGAAACTAATAATGGTTAATTTATTGGTTTTTATTACCTTTCAGTTATGAAACTAATAATGGTTAATTTATTGGTTTTTATTACCTTTCAGTTATGAAACTAATAATGGTTAATTTATTGGTTTTTATTACCTTTCAGTTATGAAACTAATAATGGTTAATTTATTGGTTTTTATTACCTTTCAGTTATGAAACTAATAATGGTTAATTTATTGGTTTTTATTACCTTTCAGTTATGAAACTAATAATGGTTAATTTATTGGTTTTTATTACCTTTCAGTTATGAAACTAATAATGGTTAATTTATTGGTTTTTATTACCTTTCAGTTATGAAACTAATAATGGTTAATTTATTGGTTTTTATTACCTTTCAGTTATGAAACTAATAATGGTTAATTTATTGGTTTTTATTACCTTTCAGTTATGAAACTAATAATGGTTAATTTATTGGTTTTTATTACCTTTCAGTTATGAAACTAATAATGGTTAATTTATTGGTTTTTATTACCTTTCAGTTATGAAACTAATAATGGTTAATTTATTGGTTTTTATTACCTTTCAGTTATGAAACTAATAATGGTTAATTTATTGGTTTTTATTACCTTTCAGTTATGAAACTAATAATGGTTAATTTATTGGTTTTTATTACCTTTCAGTTATGAAACTAATAATGGTTAATTTATTGGTTTTTATTACCTTTCAGTTATGAAACTAATAATGGTTAATTTATTGGTTTTTATTACCTTTCAGTTATGAAACTAATAATGGTTAATTTATTGGTTTTTATTACCTTTCAGTTATGAAACTAATAATGGTTAATTTATTGGTTTTTATTACCTTTCAGTTATGAAACTAATAATGGTTAATTTATTGGTTTTTATTACCTTTCAGTTATGAAACTAATAATGGTTAATTTATTGGTTTTTATTACCTTTCAGTTATGAAACTAATAATGGTTAATTTATTGGTTTTTATTACCTTTCAGTTATGAAACTAATAATGGTTAATTTATTGGTTTTTATTACCTTTCAGTTATGAAACTAATAATGGTTAATTTATTGGTTTTTATTACCTTTCAGTTATGAAACTAATAATGGTTAATTTATTGGTTTTTATTACCTTTCAGTTATGAAACTAATAATGGTTAATTTATTGGTTTTTATTACCTTTCAGTTATGAAACTAATAATGGTTAATTTATTGGTTTTTATTACCTTTCAGTTATGAAACTAATAATGGTTAATTTATTGGTTTTTATTACCTTTCAGTTATGAAACTAATAATGGTTAATTTATTGGTTTTTATTACCTTTCAGTTATGAAACTAATAATGGTTAATTTATTGGTTTTTATTACCTTTCAGTTATGAAACTAATAATGGTTAATTTATTGGTTTTTATTACCTTTCAGTTATGAAACTAATAATGGTTAATTTATTGGTTTTTATTACCTTTCAGTTATGAAACTAATAATGGTTAATTTATTGGTTTTTATTACCTTTCAGTTATGAAACTAATAATGGTTAATTTATTGGTTTTTATTACCTTTCAGTTATGAAACTAATAATGGTTAATTTATTGGTTTTTATTACCTTTCAGTTATGAAACTAATAATGGTTAATTTATTGGTTTTTATTACCTTTCAGTTATGAAACTAATAATGGTTAATTTATTGGTTTTTATTACCTTTCAGTTATGAAACTAATAATGGTTAATTTATTGGTTTTTATTACCTTTCAGTTATGAAACTAATAATGGTTAATTTATTGGTTTTTATTACCTTTCAGTTATGAAACTAATAATGGTTAATTTATTGGTTTTTATTACCTTTCAGTTATGAAACTAATAATGGTTAATTTATTGGTTTTTATTACCTTTCAGTTATGAAACTAATAATGGTTAATTTATTGGTTTTTATTACCTTTCAGTTATGAAACTAATAATGGTTAATTTATTGGTTTTTATTACCTTTCAGTTATGAAACTAATAATGGTTAATTTATTGGTTTTTATTACCTTTCAGTTATGAAACTAATAATGGTTAATTTATTGGTTTTTATTACCTTTCAGTTATGAAACTAATAATGGTTAATTTATTGGTTTTTATTACCTTTCAGTTATGAAACTAATAATGGTTAATTTATTGGTTTTTATTACCTTTCAGTTATGAAACTAATAATGGTTAATTTATTGGTTTTTATTACCTTTCAGTTATGAAACTAATAATGGTTAATTTATTGGTTTTTATTACCTTTCAGTTATGAAACTAATAATGGTTAATTTATTGGTTTTTATTACCTTTCAGTTATGAAACCAATAATGGTTAATTTATTGGTTTTCATTACCTTTCAGTTATGAAAATCAATTACAACCTTTAAAAGGTTATGGTCCCTATTCCTTCCCAAGAGTGAAAAAAAACAAGAATACTGTTTTGTTTTCTAAATCCTCTCAAGCAAAAACATAAGGCACATAAGGGAAAGTATTAGAAGGCTCTAACAAAGTCAATATTAAGGTTTTATTGACAATCAGACGCTTCCGTTTAACCGTTCATCAATGGATTCAGGTATGTCATTTTGTCTTGATCTCTTGATAATACATATGGTAAATGATGCAAAGTGTAAGGTTTATGTTCTGAAATTTTATGTTTACATATATATGTATATAATAATATGTGGGAGTTGAAGAGCACGGTTACCATGAGCAACATGAATCCCAAGAGAATGCAGTATATGAGAAGCATGAGATCCACAACACAGAGCCACCAAAGTCCAAGCAAAAGCCACCCGATTCCGACTCTCCACGAGCGAGGCCTCCTTCTTTTCGAGCATTTTCTTCCACTTGCTCACCTTCTCTTGCACTCCCAATCCCGAAACCCTCCTCCTCGTCGCCGGAAACCCGCACTCGGTCAGCCTCCGGGCCAAATCTTCCGTCGCCGCCGCATTGCCCTGAATTTCAGGCCCCCCGGCCTTCAATCGAATCGCTGCCGTCTCGGTCAACATATTGACCACCACTGAGTCAACTCGGTCGTCGGAGGATAGAATCGACTTGACGCGCGATACGCAAGCGCCGCACATCATTCCGGTAACGTCGAGAAGCACCGATTCGTCTCGCCGTTGTTGCGGTTGAAATTCCGGCGAGTTTTGTGACTGGGATTTGAATTCAACGGCCTTTGCAAGTACAGTGTTGGGGGATTTTCGCCCTGGTCGAAGAAGCTCCGTATGATGTCGTTTCTGAAGGAGTTGGTTGAGGCGAGAGCGGTGAACATTGGAGTGGGTGAGGTAGCTGAATGTGAGATTCGGGTGAGCTGAGAGAGAAATTCGGAGGAGTTCTGTTGTCATTTTTAGAGAGACAGAGGGTGGAGGGGGTAGAGAGAGAGAGAGCGAGCGAGAGCGATGGTGAGCCTGATCGATCGATATTGGGATGTCGTAAAAATGAAAATGAATGCCCGATAAGGTAGGCAGAAGGGGTTCGTTGAATATTGTTCGAGGTGATGACATATAATATCGCGACACGTGTCCAATTCTATTATATCCTCTCGTTTCCTTTTGGCTATACTGAGGCCAAGTTTGACCTCCTCAAAAAAAAATTCAAAAAATTAAAAATTTATTATCTTATTTAAATCACATCATTTTATTTAAATCACATTATTTCTTTATTATATCACTTCAAATTCAACTTATATTCAACTCATATTTCATAAAAAGTTAAAAATGTACTTATTTAAGACACCCTAAATAATCCCTAAACATGTAGTGTTATCAAACAACACCGTAACGTGTGGTCAAAATTGAGGGATGCGGGATGGCGGCTCCCTCAAACGACATAGTTTTGGATTTTTTTTTCCACTTCATTATATACCATCAATTTTGGAAAGAAGAAATTGAATAATTTTGAATCCTTCTCTAAGGCCTAGTTTTGGAAGACTAAATAAGTGTACTTTTTTATTTTATATGAAATATAGGTTGAGTTTGGATTAGGTTTGAAGTGATGTGTTAGAGAGGTGATGTGACTTAAATAAGATGATGTGACTTAAATAGGATGGTGACTTTTTGACTTTTTTGTCTTTTTTCAATCATACCAAACTTTGCCAAAATTTTATTGTACTCTCTTTTTGAAGCCTTGCTAAACTTACTATCGGGATAAAATATAAATTTAATTAAAATAATTTTTTTATAATAATTAGAAAATTATAAATGATTAATAAAAACTCATTTGATTTTATTTTAGTTTTGATTTTTTTTTTAAGTTTGCAAAATTTACTAAGCTATTGTAACAAAAAAGTTATTTTTAATTATTTTGAAATCAATTTTTCATTTTTTTTTCCCTGCACTTTTAATCCCTCCTTTGCCAGCAGAGTCATTAAGGGTCCTCAAATTTTAAAATTTAGGTACTGTTTGATTTAGTTTTAAAATTATGATTTAAGTGTAGAGTTGTGAGTTAAATTTTAAAGAGAGAAAATTTGTTTGATTATGAATTTTGAAATTTTTTTTGAGTTTTTGAATTTTAAAAATAGTTTTGAGTTTTTAAAATCGTTTTGAGGTGTATTTTGAATTTTGAATTGTATTTTTAAAAAATTTAAATTTCTTTTTTAAAAATATTTTAAAATGTTTAAGAAAATTTTATTTTTATTTTGAATATATAATTTTTTTAAATATTTTTAATATTTTAATATTAATTTTAAATATTTAATTTTATTTTTTTTAATATTTTAAACTCAAAATACAACTCTACACTCAAATTGTAACTAAACACAACTCAAAACTCAATTCAAAAATTATTTTCAAAACTCATAACCAAACACATAACTCAAAACTCAATTCAAAAACTATTTTCAAAACTAATAAACAAACACTTTTTTTCATGACCCAAACCCGGTACCCAAAGGCTCAGTGTCGTAACAAGATAAACATAAAATAATTCAAATAATTTTGTAGTCGTAGCGCAAGCGGTTAAATTAAATAAATTAAAATAAAATAATTGAGTACCAAATGTTTAATAAAATGAAACAAACATAGTCAATTGAGCTTTATTGTATTACAAGAGTCCGATAAAAAAAATATGGAAATCTTAAAAATAAATAAAAAAACAACACATTCATCCCCCATCTTAATCCCGCTAAACTTCGTCACCTGAAAGGGGTAACAGCTATAAGCATATAGCAGAGCGAGAAATATTATACTGTGAGTATAGGGGCATCAAAATAGCCATGGATAGTTATTTAAATTAAAATATTAACACAATTTGACTTGAATACATAAATAAATTAAGTGGCAGAAACTGAAATAAATAGCTATAACTACGGTACAGAACATGGGGTCACTAGAGTGACAATCAGAATAGGGGTCAATGGATCCATGATAAACAGGGGACCATAAGGTGATCAAACAGGGGCCAATTGTTATTTAAGTCCCCTAAGGCATGAGACTCCCGTGGTGGTACTTACAAAAAATAATTGTTTACAAGATCATTGTCAAATACTTTCTAAAATTTAAACAAATATATCCATGGGTTTTAATTTATACAAATAGAGTTCAGAAAATAATTAACGAAATTGAAACATTAACCTAACCATAAACATAAATTATATAAAATAAATTGTGATAACTCAAAACATTCATAAAATATATTATAGTAACTCAAGACATGTAGAAAACATATTATGATAACTCAAGGTATAATAAAACTCACATCTAATATAACTTTATCCCTATTTTTCCCGTGCTACCAAACCTCCCGTGCTATTCCTTCTTCCACTCTTTTCATTGATTGTCATCCTTGCTTCTACTAGAACGCCCTATTTATATGCATCAATTCTTGGGGCCCAAGTTGATTACGTGGTCTCAGAATGTGCCACTTGGCCTGTTCCTTGACTCTTACCTTGCCAATTGTCCAAAGGTCGTCTAATTCATCGGCTCTAGGAGATTAGGGTTGGCTTCTTATAATTTTAGGGGTTGTCACGCTTTTTGGTAATTCACAATGATCCCTAAAAATTTCGTATAATTATAGGTTAGGTTCATGTCTAAAAACCTCACTACCCAACTATAAAACATCACTTACCACTCACTAAAATATTTAACATGCGGTGCCTCACATTTTATTAACTTAACAATTTAATTGATTAATTCACAATTTCTTAAACTATGCATTTATTTATTTATTTATTTATTCATCTTATTAATTATTATTATTATTTATTGATTTATTTATTGACTTATTTTTTTATCTATTTTTATTTTTATTTTTATTTATTTATTTATTTTTGAACTCTATTTATTGCAATATTAAATTTAAAAACATTTGGGTGTCACATTTCTCCTCTCCTTAAAAGAAGTTTGTCCCCAAACTTGACGTACCTTGGTTTTCGAAGAGGTGTGGGTATTTGCTCGCATTTGGCTTTCAGTTTCTCACGTTGCTTCTTCGACACGATGGTTTCTCCATAAGACTTTTGTAAGAGGTATAGTCTTATTTCGAAGGACCTGATTACGCTGATCAAGAATCTGTACAGGTTGCTCTTTATAAAAGAGGCCTTCTTGAACTTTCAGGTTCTCATGATCGACAACATGCTCTGTATCTCGAAGATATTGACGAAGCATCGAAACGTGAAACACATTATGAACATTGGATAGTTCGGGTGGAAGCGCAAGGCGATATGCCACAGAACCAATCCTTTTGAGTATCTCGAACGGGCCAATGTAACGTGGGTTTAACTTTCCTCGCTTCCCAAATCGGATAACCCCTCTTGTTGGTGAAATCTTTAGGAACATATGATCGCCTATTTGAAACTCTAAGTCTCATCTCCGTGTATCTGCATAGCTTTTTCTGGCGACTTTGGGCAGTGCGAATTCACTGTTGGAAGAGTTGAATTTTATCGCTCGTTATTTACACGATCTTGGGGTTTAACAATTTCCTATCTCTGACTTCAGTCCAACACAGAGGTGATCGACATTTTCTTCCGTATAATGCCTCGTATGGTGCCATTCCAATGCTTGCATGGTAGCTGTTATTATAAGCGAATTCTACCAAAGATAGGTGATCGTCCCAATTACCTTTGAGGTCTAGTACACACAAACATAACATATCTTCCAAAGTCTGGATCATCCTTTCAGATTGCCCATCAGTTTGTGAGTGATAAGCCATGCTAAACTTCAGAGTGGTTCCCAAAACTTCTTGCAATTTGTTCCAGAAGTGAGACATGAAACGGGGGTCTCTATCAGATACGATTGGAACCGGGGTGCCGTGCAAACAAATGATTTCCTTAATGTATAGAGTGGCGAATTTGGAAAGGGAGTACATGATTTTGATTGGTAGAAAATGTGCCGATTTCGTTAATCGATCTACGATAACCCATATTGCATAATTCTTCAAAACTGATTGCGGTAGCCCGACCACGAAGTTCATAGTAATGTGCTTTCATTTCCATTCGGAAATAGGGAGTGGTTATAACATTCCTGCAAGTCTTTGATGTTTTGTTTTAACTTGTTGACAAAACAAGCATTTGAAGACATGGCTTGTTATGTCTTTCTTCATTCCTGTCCACCAAAAGTGTTCATTCAAATCATGATACATCTTCGTATTGCCGAGGTGGATCGCAAACCTCGAGCTATAAGCTTCTACCAATATCTTTTTCTTAAGTTCTGGAAGGTCGGGTACGCAAATTCAATTCCGAAATTTTAGTATCCCATTGTTTATTGTGAAGTCAGGATCGGGCGTGCTTCCTTGTTCCTCATACTTTTTCTTCAAAAGTTTATCTTCACATTGGCGAATTTTAATTTCTTCAATCAACTCGGGTTCCACGATTATGTTGGCGAACAGTCCATTAATCTTGCAGGGAATAAGGGTACATGTTAAACTTCTGGTCGTCTTTCGACTTAATGCATCTGCTACTACGTTAGCTTTACCGGGATGGTGATGGATCTCTATATCATAATCCTTCATAAATTCTAGCCATCATTGTTGCCTTATATTTAGCTCCTTCTGTGTAAATAGATATTTGAGACTCTTGTGATCTGTGTAAATTTCGCAGGCTACTCCGTAGAGATAATGACACCAGATTTTGAGGGCAAAGATTACTGCAGCTAACTCCAGATCGTGGGTCGGGTAGTTCTTCTAATGGGTCTTTAGTTGACGTGAGGCATATGCAATGACCTTCCCATTTGCATAAGAGCGCAATCCAAACCATTGTATGAGGCATTGCTATAAATTACGAACCCTTCTGTTTTTCGCGGGGAGTGCTAGTATAGGAGCCGTCACGAGTCTGTTCTTCAATTCTTGGAAGCAACGTTCTTGCTTGTTGGTCCATTTAAAAGGTGTGTTCTTCTGAGTTAGCTGGGTCAAGGGTGAAGCTATCTTCGAGAAATCTTGCACGACGCATCGGTAGTAGCCAGCTAAGCCCAAGAAACTTCGAATCTCAGACACGTTAGTAAGTTGTGACCAATCCATAATTGCTGCAACCTTTTGGGGATCAACTGAGATACCATTTTTGTTAATGACATGACCGAGAAAGTGTGCACCAGTGATCCAGAATTTGCATTTCTTCAACTTGGCATAAAGCTTGTGATCATGTAATGTTTGTAAAACTCTTCGTAAGTGGTGCTCATGATCTTCTAGTGATTTGGAGTATACAAGAATGTCATCAATGAAGATAATGACGAACTCGTCAAGATAGGGTTTGAACACTCGATTCATGAGGTCCATGAAAATTGCTGGAGCATTTGTGACGCCGAATGGCATGACGAGAAATTCGTAGTGCCCGTAACGAGTTCTGAAGGCAGTCTTTTCATGTTTTTTGTTTTGACTTTTAGTTGATGGTAACCAAAACGCAAGTCAATTTTTTAGAATACTTGGGCACCTTACAGTTGATCAAACAAGTCGTCAATTCATGGTAGAGGGTATCGATTCTTGATGGTGACTTTGTTCAGCTCCCGATAATCGATACATAGCCTCATTGTACCATTTTTTTCTTTACGAATAGTACCGGAGCTCCCCATGGTGAGGTACTTGGTCGGATGAAGCCTTTGTCCAGTAGTTCTTGGAGTTAGGTTTTTAGTTTTTTCAATTCTGTCAGGGATATGCGGTAAGGGGTCTTTGAGATTGGTTTTATACCAGGTTGGGTTTCAATGGTGAATTCGATTTCGCGGTCAACTGGGGTACCAGGCAGGTCTTCAGGGAATACATCCGAGAATTCTCGAACCATAGGGATTTCATTAAGTATGGGGGTTTCTTGTTGAGTATTGATCACATAACAAATACAACTACAACATCCTTTTCTTAGAAGCCGTTGGGCTGTCATGAAGGATATAATACATGGAGGGGGAGAGGTTTTAGTTCCTTCGAAGACAAGTTCGAGTTGGTTTGGTGACCGGAGGAAAACCTTTTTGGCTTCACAATCGATAAAGGCATGGTTGGTAGCTAACCAATCCATTCCTAAGATCACATTAAAGGTACTAATGCAGAGGGGAATTAAGTCTATGTGTAAGGTTTCCCCTTTTAAGGATACAGTACAAGATTTGTACACATTAGTACTAAGGGCGGAATTTCCAGAAGGAAAAGACACAGATAGTACGTATCCTAAGGGTTCGGGTGTTGATGCCAACTTGGTAGCAAAGTATGGTGTAACAAAAGAATGAGTTGAACCAGAGTCAAAGAGAACATGGGCTAAATGACCACAAACAGAAAGTGTACCTGACACAACATTCTCAGTAACTTCTGGGTTTCTAGACACCAGGGTAAAAGCTCTTCCTTGGCGTTTTTGGTCCTTCCTCACTTCTCTAGGTACCGCAGGTTTTCAAACTGGTGCAAAGGGGTTGGCTGTAGGACTAGTAAGCTTTGGGCAATCTCTCAGCAAGTGCCCAATTTGGCCACATTTAAAGCATGCTCCCGTATCTTGACGACATTGTCCCCAATGAGTCATTCCACAGGTAGTGCAAGCTGGAATGGTACCACATCTGGGATTTGTAAGACCTTGATTGTTTGAACTGGTTAAATTAGTTGTGCCCATATTCATTTTCTTGGGAGTCCCGACACCGGGTTTTTTGTTATCTCTTTCCCAAAATTACTTTCTCTGGCTTGGTTCACCGGAGCGCAAGGCTTTAATCCCTTTTTCTGCAATATAAGCTCGATCTACCACTGCCGCATAGGTTAGTAGTTTCAAACCTCCAGCCTATCTTTGATTTCAGGATCCAATCCAGCTTCAAATTTCCTAGCTTTTCGAGCTTCATTGGGGATGACGTATGTCGCGAATCGGGTCAGTTGTGTGAACTTGCTTTCGTTTTCGGTCACTGTCATGGTTCCTTGCCTTATATGTATGAATTCTAACACCTTTTGTTCCCGTAGTGAATCTGGAAAGCATTTTTCATAGAAGACCTCCAAAAATCTTGCCCAAATCACAATATTTTCCTTCTCCAGGGTAAGAAGCCACCATTCTCGTGCATCGTCTTTGAAGATGAATGTGGCAAAAGTCACCTTCTGTCTTTCTATGCAAGGTAACGCGCGAAAGATTTTCTCCATGTCCCTAACCCAAGCCTCTGCCACTAGTGGGTTTGGACTGCCGATAAACGTAGTGGGTTTCTGATCCTGAAATTGTTTAATCATAGTCGGTTCTTCTCGTCTTTCTAGTGTCCCATTGGTTATGCTGGTTTGCAAGGCCTGCAAAAAGTTGGTGACTGTTCTTTCCATGACTTGCTCCATTGGGATGGTACCGCTGGCTGATGATCCGGTTTTATTTCCTTCGTTGCCCATTACTACAAGGTAAAATGATATAATCGTGACATCACATTGATACAACGTCATATACAACATATTAGTTTTACTATCACATTAATACCATACAAAAACTTCATATACACATCATCGTTACTATACATAAGGCGTTTATCACATTAATACGATACAAAAACTTCATATATACATCATTGTTACTATACATAAGGCGTTAGTCCAGCTGTTGAAAATTAATGTCTAATCCTACTGATACAAAAAAAATATAAGGATTAGACTAATCATGGTCAGGTCACAAAAATGGCCAGGTCACAAAAATGGCCTCCTGGTCGAACATCTAGAAGGGACCATTAGGCCACCACCATGAGAACTGGCCCCGGAAAACTGGCCCATGAAATAACCCTGCGAACTCACTCTGCATAAGGGACTCGAACTCCCACCCACTCTGCTCTATTCCAAAGCAACTCCATACCACATGGACTATAGAAACAAGAACACCGTGATCATAACCCCAAAACTCCCGCTCGGTAATTCATACCGGTACCTCTAAGTATGATGCACTATTAGTGAAGTCCATAGTTGGGGTATATACAATATGTTGTGGAGGAGGTGTCGTGGTGCGGATATGGCTACTAGAATATGCGTGTCCCCTCCTCTCCGCAAAGCCTAGGGGTAGAGGTGCGACCAGAAAATATGGCTGCTCTAGGTCCGGAGCAAGACCAACGACGTGGGTCGGCTCTATGTACCTCTCACTAGTGCTTCCTTTGCTAAGTCTCCAAAATAAGAAATCCTCATCGAGGTCAGCCTGCAAATACACGGGTCGTCCTATGAGTCGATCAAGTGCCGAGTGGGCTTGCCAGACAAGACTCTCCGAATCACCCCAGCCCTTTAATAAGTTTGGGACAAGATGAGCTCCTGGAGGCTCGAGCCAAAACAACTCCATAAGGTTGGTCATTTCTTACAACGCAGGAAAACTTAGCCTAGACATTATAACATGGTTTACTTGTTTTAGACGTAGCGCATAATATCAAATAATACAAGTTTAATAATATATATATATATATATATATTTTGGATTTTTTTTTTGAATTTTTTTTTGCAATTCAAATAATGTGAATTTCAACGAATGTGAATAAAATTAATGTGAATAATTGTATAGGAAATTTCAAAAATATATACAATTTTGTTTTATACACATTTTTTTTTTGAAATAATCTTCAATTCAAATGTGAATTGCAAATAATGTGAAAATTATACAGAAAAATTCAAAAACTTATACTATATATAAATATATATATTTTTATTTTTAAAAAGCCATTGCTCTGATACCACTTTTGTCACGACCCAAACTCGGTACCCAAAGGCTTGGTGTCGTAACAAGATAAACATAAAATAATTCAAATAATTTTGTGGTCGTAGAGCAAGCGGTTAAATTAAATAAATTAAAATAAAATAATTGGGTACCAAATGTTTAATAAAATGAAACAAACATAGTCAATTGAGTTTCATTGTATTACAAGAGTTCGATAAAAAAAAACATATAGAATTCTTAAAAATAAATAAAAAAACAACACAGCGATTCATTCCCCATCTTGATCCCGCTAAATTTTGTCACCTGAAAGGGATAACAGCTATAAACACATAGTAGAGTGAGAAATATTATACTGTGAGTATAGGGGCATCAAAATAGCCATGGATAGTTATTTAAGCTAAAACATTAACATAATTTGACTTGAATACATAAATTAATTAAGTGGCAGAAACTGAAATAAATAGCTATAACCACAGTACAGAACAAAACAAAACAGGAGTCACTAGAGTGATAATCAGAACAGGGGTCAATGGATCCATGACAAATAGGGGACCATAAGGTGGTCAAACAGGGGCCAATGGTTATTTAAGTCTCCCAAAGCATGAGACTCCCGTGGACTACAAAAAATAATTGTTTACAAGATCATTGTCAAATATTTTCTAAAATTTAAACAAACATATCCATGGGTTTTAATTTACGCAAATAGAGTTTAGAAAATAATTCACGTAATTGAAACATTAGCCTAACCATAAACATAAATTATATAAAATAAATTGTGATAACTCAAAACATTCATAAAATATATTATGGTAACTCAAGACATGTAGAAAACATATTATGGTAACTCAAGTATAATAAAACTCACCTCTAATATAAATTTATCCCTATTTTTCCTGTAGCGACCCTCACCTTACTCTTGTCATACTTGCATACATTCATGCATGATCTTGTCTTGTTATGTTGTTTTGAAGGTTCTGCCTTACCTTGTTTTGTTTAAGTATTGCTTGCTTGACTTTGTTCCTTGCTCGGTGTGTAGCCGAAGTAATCTTGAGCTTAGTTCACCTTTGAACCTTTGTACCTAGAGCAGTTTTGGAACCATTTGGTTGATCCCATCTTCACCTCGGGCTTGTTGCCGAGATGTTTTGCACTTAGTGATCCTTGTCCTTGGGCAGGTATGGCCTAGACCGAGGTGTGGCACACCCCGGCCAAGGTGTGGTACAACTTAGTCAAGTGTCGTCCTTCCTAGCCGATGTCTTTGTTATCCTGTTGCCGAAGCTTTGACTTTAGCCGATGTCATTACTTGCCGATGTGTCTTGCCCTAGCTTACTGTGTACGCTTTTTCATAGACTTGTTTTATCAATCAATCATCTTTTGAGTTGAACCAACTCGGTAACGCCACATGTCCGAGCTGATTGTTAAGACAGCCGGCAGACCTAGAAACAAATCATTTTTGTCTCAAATCTTTGCCTTTAGAGAGAGAAGCTCTAGAGAGAATGAGGAGAAGTTCTTGAGTAAGAGTAGATCTTCCAAGCTTGATCTTCGAGGTTTGAACCGTTGGATTCGAGTTTTGAGGTTAGAATCTTAACCTACTCTTGTCGTTCTTATTGATCATCTAGCTGCATTGCATGATCGAATCTGTTTTGCATGTCATGCATCGATTTGAAGTTGGTTTCGGAAGAGAAAGATAGTATTCATGCGTTCTTAAAGAAAAGTCTCGTTTTGATCCGAAAGTTTGGAGCAAAAATCATGTTTTTGTGTTTGTTCTTGCATGACCTTCTTGTATGGGTACCCAGGTCCATGTTTTGAGCTCATAGCATGAAATCTCAGATTTTTGTAACGAGTTATGATCTTGCATTCATCTTCCTCATGATCATGTTCATTATGTCCTTCATGTTCTTCGAAGGGAAACCCAGGTTTTTTTTCCCGACTTTGTTTTTGAATGAGGCCATCGGGACCACACCTCGGCAAGGAGGTGTGGGACCTCGGCAGAGACCTGGTTGGTACCCAGTGTGTTTTCATGAGACGGGAGTAGTGTTTAAACTCCCAGCATGTTTCGCTTTGTCATTGATTTGGATCTGCTGAGAATGCCAAGATCATTTACATGCATATAAAGCTTGTTTTGAGAATGTGATTGCCATGTGATTGTAGGTCCTTGATCTTTGCTTTGAGCCTACACCCGAGGAGATCTATGTGAGTGGTATTTTTAATAAAGCTATGTTATACTGTTTTGTTAAATCTTGTTTTGCTTTGTTTTGCGAAAAGTATTTGTTAAGCATGAATGAATAGCCTGTTTGATGTATCAAGTATAAGCTTTGTTTTGATGTCATTCTTGAAAAGTCCCTTGTACTGGAGGACTATAAACTTTCGCAGTACCAAGTATAAAAGTCCCTTGTGCTGGAGGACTCTAAACTTTCGCAGCACTAAGCATAGAAGGATACGGTCCTTTCTTGGAAAGACTCTTGTGTTAAAACGGGCTACGGGCCTAAGTAACACAAGACCATCGTGTTAAAAAGGGCTACGAGCTTAAGTAACACAAGTCCCTTGTGCTGGAGGACTATAAACTTTCGCAGTACATTTGACTAATCGATTACGGATCGTACAGCCTTTGTTTTGCCACTGACGGTTTACCGCGTGGATCTGTTGTTCGGAAAGCTTGATTTGTGTTTTGCCGATGTTAGTAAGCATCCTTGAGACTTGTAAGACTTAATTGATGAATACGGTTCATCAAAAGCTTGATTTGTGTTTTGCCGATGTTAGTAAGCATCCCTTGAGACTTGTAAGACTTAATAGATGAATACGGTTCATCAAAAGCTTGATTTTTGTTTTGTCGATGTTAGTAAGCATCCCTTGAGACTTGTAAGACTTAATAGATGAATACGGTTCATCGAAAGCTTGATTTGTGTCTTGCCGATGTCAGTAAGCATCCCTTGAGACTTGTAAGACTTAATAGATGAATAAGGTTCATCAAAAGCTTGATTTGTGTTTTGCCGATGTTAGTAAGCATCCCTTGAGACTTGTAAGACCTTGATAGATGAATACGGTTCATCCCTTGTTTTGATAAAGTTTTGATGTGTTTTTGCTTTGAAAAGATCTCAGCTAAGATTCCTATGGTTTTGGCATGTTTTGTTTTGAAGGATCTCGGCTATATTCATGCAAAACCTTTATTATTAGTACCATTCACTGAGTATCCAAGCTCACCCTCTCTATATATATGTAGGTGATGAGCAGGACGTCGGCGACGCCTAGATGTGTTTTTGAAAGCTTGTTTTGGATCTATGATTATGTCGGCTTTGTTTTGTATTCACGTCGGCGATGTCATTTCTTTCATGTCGGCGAGTCTTGAAAATCATGCTTCTTGGCTTGTACTCACTGTCATTTTGTATATGTCGGTTTGAGAAGCCTTTTGATCAAGATGTAATACGTATTTTGCTTTGTTGTATTCAAGTTGTAAAGATATATGCTATTTCATTAGACTTATACACTGCTCTTATGGACCACTTGTATTATGATTTATTGCTTCCGCATTTGTGAGCCCCTTTATCATTCTCTGATTGTGTTAAACTTTTGAAAGTTGGCCTTCGGTCATTACGAATTACTGGCCATCACGGCACCAAACTACTAGGGGCGGTTTGGGGTCGTGACATTTCCCGTGCTACCAAACCTCCGGTGCTATTCCTTCCTCCACTCTTTTCATTGATTGCCATCCTTG